AAGACCCACACACAATTCAAAGGCATGGCTATAAATGTCTGTTGGCAATGAAGTCCAGCAGCTTGCTGATGACCATCCAACAATCGATGTCAGGAGCATATTGTATAGTGAGATACAGAAATCCTGGCTGTGCCTTGCTTCCTACCAATACTACTTCTCTAATCTTCTGGTCACTTCTGTGAGCTACACAACGGTCTTTTACTAGATTCCTACCTACCTACTCCAACTGGTCGTTAAGAAATTGTCACCAGGGAGTAGATTATGAACAACAGATTCTTAGGTAATTACAAACAGTGTGGTTTGGTTTCTGGCCTAGAAGAGGTCAATGAATATCACATTTGTGTTCATGGAAGACATTCTCTAAGTCCTTGGCATGAAGCAGTCATGTCATGATGAAATAACTGTTATCAAGTCACACAGAAGGCTCTGGTTAATTAAGAGAGTGCTGAATGAAGAGCATGAAGAATTCAAGACTATGAGATAAGAGTGCCTGTTATTCTACAGGTACAAGATAGCATTAAAAAAAACACCAAAAAAAATTTATAAGGTAAGTTTCTACAAACTAGCTCCAATGTACAAACTGAATCCAGGTACTGTTAAGAAAGGTATCTTTTTCTCTCTTACAACAGAGCAGAGGCACCATCAAAGAAATCTGAAAGGTTGGATGCTTCAGCTGAATTACAAGTTCATTCAGTTTGTACCCATGTTGCAAAAAATGAAAGTTAGAGCACGGATTAATAGAAATAGAAATGGAATGACAGTGCCTTGAAAGATTGTGAGTTAGGGGTACCCTAAATCTCTAATTCTCACGTAGGCCCCCCTTGCTAGTTGGTGAGCCTCGCTTCCTTTGTCCTCTCCTTCTCCCTCCCCTCTCCCGCTCCCTCTCAGTAAAATACCCCTGCCTGAAGGAATTCCCTTGTATGAGTAAACTAAATCCTATTTGCTTCACACTTCACCCTTCCATACACACATCCTGCTCCACTTGCACCAGGTAACAGCAGACTCTGTGGGGTTAACTATCACATGAATTATAAGACTTTATTCATTAATATGGGCAAGCAAACTGAAAAAAAGTACAGGTATAGATTCTGACTGTTTTAGACCGAGGAAGATAAAGCAATTTTAGTTCCAACTGTTTGCTGATACAAGCATGCTTGTCAGAGATTCTGGCAGAACTCTTGTCAGAGCTCAAAATCTACCTTTAATGCCTGAGAGTGGTTCTACATGTTTATCCAACTGGCTTATTGGAAAGCCAGGAATTTAGCTCAGTAGTTCCGCTGCCTGCCTCACAAGCACAAGGTCCCAAGTTTGATCCCCGGTACATAATAAACAAACAAACAAAACCCCATAAAACACACCAATTGGCTGAATGGAAGTAGGACCTGGATACAATGATAGTCTATGCTAAAAGAGTATGTGTAGTGTCACGTATTCTTAGAACAATGTAGAATTTTAAAACTGCACAATATAAGACGATGGATATGACTGTGTAATTTATAATATACCTTTATCCACTGTCCATCTATAAACCTTAAAAGGTCACAGAGGACACTTCCTACTCCATGCCTTCAAAATACAAGTACAGTGGAATGTCCACATCTCTGAAAAATACTTTATAGGCCAAAGATAGATGACACAGAAATCAGACTACCCATTTCAAGAATAGAAGAGACCAAGCAAGTGGCATTTAAGTACCAGGGGGTGGGAAAGTTGGCATAAGTAAACAGGCAGTAGGCCAGAATGGGTTAAAATAATCTGACAGTGTGAATCTTTTGCAGTAGTTAAAGCATCACAGAGTCTTTCAGGTTAGAATAAAGAGGCACTCAAACATTAAACTAAAAGCAACATTGTTCCCTAAAGGGAACAAAGACAGTGTCGCCACTAAAAACTAGAGGCTGATGACATACCAACCATATCCCTGCTCAACATTTCAGTTGATAAAGGTCTGGAACAAAAATGCTGCCACTAATTCCCTGGTCAGAAAAGGTCTACAAACCTGAGTTGGAGGTGAAGGATGTGATACTCCTCAGGATTACAACCAGAGGCTAACTTATAAAACACTTCTTTCATATTCCTGAGGTCTGCTGTTCAGAGGCTTTACACTCACTGGAGAGAGGACTACTTCCACTAGTGCTACAATAAACACCCTGCTTAGAAGCTAAGTCTCACACCCATTTTAAAAGCACTACCCATTTACAAATCACTCTGCCAAAAGCATTACCACCTTTCAAAAAAGAGTGTCAAGTCTTTGTAAATAGGGGAGGGGGAGAAGGGAGGGCAGGGGTATGGGGGAAAAATGAGAACCAAGATCTGTCATGTAAAGGTACAAGATCCCAATGATGCATGTAACAGTACTGTGTACTTAAAAAGTACCAATAAACTCAGTAAGATAAAAAAAAAAGAGTGTATTAGGCAAGAAAAGTTAGCTTGATGGTTAAGGGGAAATACAGCAGGGGGTACATGTGGGTAGAGAGGGAACCCAGACTATTTCTGTAGTACTTTCTGGTATCTTCCAGGTAAAAAATTATCCAAAATTGCTGAAACCACAGAGGCAAAATTACCAAGGCTTCAAGTCCCACCCCCCACAGATTTAAATTCATCTTTTATCTCAAAACAGATTAAAAACAGACAAAATCTCTAAGTTACCTCAAGACAATCTTCACTGCATGTAAACAAAAAGGGCACACAATGGAAGAGGAAAGTCATAAATACCATTTATATATTCAGGATCAATGTACAAACATGAGAATATCAATCCATACTTATATGTTTATACCTTGTTTTTTGCCATTTCATATAAATGTTTATAAATTTTAGTTAACTTTCCTTCTCTAAGTTTTCCATTATTTTGTAAAGGATATCCTGGCATGGTTAAATCTGCAACTAAATCAATAGATTCCAAGATATAGAAAGAAAGGAGAAATGGACAGATGCAGAAATTCATAAAACCAGTGTCATTTTACTGGAAAGAAATGTGATTTCACCTATATAATGCATACATTAGGCAGCTAAGAATATGTTTTATATAACAATAGGGAAAAGATACAGAGATATCGGGAATTCTAAGAGGCAGACTATAGTTACATATACTTTTTGCTGACTTGGTCCTGTTTGGGAGAAAGTACCAAGATCAAGGGAAACAGTATTCTACCTCTCACTACAGAAGCCAAAACTGGAGCAAGTAACCCTTTCTCCGATGTCTGGGGAAAGGCTGTGAGCTCACGGCCTAAAAAGAGCCAATTATTTGGTCCCCTATAGATTTCTGGCTCAGGGAAATGAGGTTAAGGTCAATGAAAGAACCCATTAAAATTAAGCTTCATAAAATAGGAACTTGCTCACTATTTACTTCTACTACAGTATCAATCTTATGGTAGGAACTTATTAAATATTTTTAATAGGAAAAAAGGTCAGTGCAATTATTTTCAGCACTCACCGGGAAATAAAAAATCCAATACACAGCTTCATGTGTCCAGCAGTAAAGGCTGGCACTGTAGTGTCTAGAGATAACAGTGACAGCCATGGTACCTGGAGCAGAATCTGAGTCAAAACCACTGCTGTCCTTGTCTCCCTTGGTTCTGGACTATACCTGGTTCTTCATCCTGCCTAATAATGCTTCAAGTTTCCAATGTCCTTCCAATAAATGTTCTTCCAATAAATTTCTCTTCTAATTAAATTTAATCATCCAAGGTGCTTTCTGTGACTCCCATTCAAGAACACCAGCTAGTACCGAGGCCTAACTATACTTCAGACCCATGGGGTCAGGAAATAATTCTCCACATGTATCTTCTTGTAGAAGACTGCAAGTTAAAAAATTATAATGATAGATTTATGCTCAAAGCCAAAATATTTACTTCTTCCTTTAATATGTTAGACTGAACCAAATGCAATTGTAGATATTATGCCCCTTTTTAATCTAAAATATTTTTTTCATAAAATTTAACCTAACATGTATCAGTTACTTTAAAAGAAACAGTAATATCTATTACCTGGTTGCTCTGTTAAGTTACCTCAAAAGTCTTTCCTTAATTTATATAATACTTTTTAAGGCTTTGACTTTAAAACACTACTTATAAATATTACTAACCCTTTTTATATAGCATTGATTGAAGCTTACAGAATGTCAACTCCCTATAAGCCCCATAAATGTTACAGAATGGGGGGAATGTATTCAGTAAGAATGAGTTAGAGTCATAGATATTTGTAACCAGGAGGCACAACTATAATGACTCACAGTCAGCCCTAACTTCCATTCCAGTTGTCTGAAATTTCTCAAGCCAAATACGTATCCATACTACAGTATTCTAAGAGTCATTAAGGAAGGAAAGTAAGTAACTTTTTTAGTAGCCAGTTCTCATTTCCAACAAGTAGGAAACTATTTTTGGAGGGTTGTTTCTTTCTTATATATCTGCCTGTATCACACCTGTTATATTTCCTCTTACCTGCAGAGTTTTAAAAGCAGTTCCTCACTATACAATACAGATTAACTCTTCATACATTTGATAAGTATTGACTAACTTATTACTCAGCATTTCCCTTCAGACTCAACCATCCTAATTCCTTTAATATTTCCAAAAACTCTATTTAAAATTTTCTCTATTCTGAACCTATTGTATACCTTCCAAGTCTTCCAAAGTGTTGAAATTAATGTATCCTGAAAGCAAATGCAAAATAAATGAGGCCTATTTTGAGGGTCAATAAAAATGTGCCACCAGAGAAGAGAATTTAAAAAAAAATTGATGACAAGAAGTACGGAATGGGAACTACTGAATTGGTGAAATACCCAGTCATTCCTAATACAAACGTGAGATGAGAAGAGAAACACTGTGGAAAATGAGACACAATAGGTTTGCTTTCGTTTTCCTTCCTTTTTAAAAAAAACTTACTATCAAAGTCCTCTAGAAATGATCCAATAAATAAATATTAGATTTTTCCCTACAACAATAGTTTTTAAAGTTGCCTCAACAGTACAGTGCTTTGCTAAGCTGATAAGAGGCTTTTACCTGAATGGTACTTCTTCCTTTGGAACATCCACATAGTAACGAATAAAAAATCGCTCAGAATCTTCTCGCTCACCATCGGAGACAACACTGCCATTAAGTTTAGAAACTGATGGCAATCTATAAATTAAAAGAAAAAAAAGACCTTTTAAGATGTCAAAAATATTTATTTTAGGTCTAGAAATAAAATAATTCATTTGAATCTCAGTCTTATTTCTTTGAAAGGACAATGTTTGATGGACTTTTGCTTGTGTATAAATAGAGACATGGACTAAAGTCACATAAAAGACCAAACAAATCTAGTTTCATTTTTGAGTATGACACTGAACTTTCATAATCATACCTCATCTTTCAAAATAAGAATCTAGGCAACATCAACACCCAACTTAAATAAATATAATGCAAGCCACAAAAGTAATTTTAAATTCTCTAGTAACCACACTTTTAAAAGTTAAAAAAAGGTAAAATTAATTTTAACAATATATTTTTACTTAATCCAGTACATCCAGGATACAATCATTTTGACATGTACAGTGGGCACTACTCAAAAATAATTAAAAAGCTATTTTCTATTCTTTTATTCATAGAAAGTATTTGAAATCCATTATCTATTTTACTCTTTAACACATTTCAATTCAGACAAAACATATTTTACATGGCCAGTGGCTACTATAAAAAACAACACATGTCTAAAGAGTGCTCAGTGTGATTATATAATTCAGGAATTAATTTATCATATTTGCAAAAGAACTGTGTAGACAATCATGTATAAGGTATTCTGTAAAAACCTTCTTCAAAGAGAAGTATGCTAACATTTCTTTCTTCAGTTAGATACTAATATGGATGTTAACAACTGCAAAGTAGTAAGGCATTAGTTGGTCAGAAAGATCAAAATCATGTTTAAAGAACAACTCTTCTTTAAGGAACCTTAAAGCCTAGTTTCTCTTTCAAAACTACTATGTTTAGTACACAAAGAGAACAAAGCAAAGCTCTATAGCCCTTTTCATTTTAGTCAAAGTCTCATTTCTGCTACAAAATTACCCCCAGTAGGAAATTCTAGTAGTCTGTGGAAGCAGTGTCTGAGATAAAAAAGGCAGGGGAGTCCAACAAAGAACATAATAAGAATGCTAGTTATATTTAAGCCAACATATATTCAAAAAGAAAATATAGAGGCTGAGGAAATAGCCCAATTCCCAAGTATTCGCACTTCAAATGGCCACTATGTTAACCAAGGAAATAAGGACAACTACAACAGGAAAGATCTCCTATCATATGGACTTTTACCTTGTGATCCAGGACAGTTCCTCAAAAAACCTTAATACTAAAAACCATAACAATCACTGGTCATTGGAGAGATGCAGATGAAAACAACACTGAAATTCCACCTCACCCCAGAAAGAATGGCTGCTATCAAGAAATCAACCAATAACAAATGCTGGTGGGGTTGTGGGGAGAAAGGAACCCTTCTCCACTGTTGGTGGGAGAGCAGACTGGTGCAACCACTATGGAAATCAATATGGAGATACCTCAAACAACTAGGATTAGAGGTTCCATTTGACCCAGCTATTTCTCTGCTGGGTATCTTTCCAAAAGAATTAAAGGAATCATACCACAGTGACAATACGTGCACCCATGTTTATAGTGACAGTTTGTAATAGCTAAAACTTGGAAACAGCCCAACTACCCATCAGATGGAGACTGGATAAAGAAGATGTGGTTTTTCTATAAAATGGAGTACTACTCAGCCATAAAGAATGAGAAACTATAGAGTCATTCATAGGAAAATGGATGCATATTGAGGCCATAGTCTTAAGTGAAATACATAAGACACACATGTATAAATACTCAATAGTTTCTTTGGTGTGAAAAACTATAAATGTAAATAAGATCCAAATTGTATAACTGACAATGTGAAATAGGAAGAAAAGGGCTAAAGGTGTAGGGGAAGTGGGAAGGGTAGGGGAAAGGAAATAAGGGAAAAGAAAAAGCATGAGAAAAGGAAAAAAACGGAAACAAAGTCTTTGTAAATAGGGGAGGGTGGAGGCATCACATGAAGGGAGGGCAGGGGTACGGGGAAAAATAGAGAACCAAGATCTGTCATGTAAAGGCACAAGATCCCAATGGTAAATGTAACTGTACTATATACTTAAAAACTACCAATAAACTCAATGAAAAGTAAATAAAAACCATAACAATGGAACAGATTTATGAGGGAATATTTTGGTGGCATTACAGGACATTGGAGGCAATGAGGACAACAAGTTTCACATTTTCCTCACTGTACTACACTGATTTTTATCCAAGACTGGAAGCTACAGAAACAGCTCCTTTAAGCATGATCTGCTCAAGATATCGGTAGATTCATAGTGTCCACTCCCCAAATAGTATACCACCCCTTTAAGAAAACAGTAAGGCCCTGTGAAAAGAAAACACAAGAAATCTAGACAACAGACCTGGCTACCACCAATTTCCTGCGCTCCTCAGTGGTATATGGCTGTAGAAGAGGAATTCCTAACAACCTCACTTCTTCAAGTTTGGGGAATGAATTTAGTTTGTCAATGTCTTCCCAGGACTGCAAACCTATTTTGAGAAAGATATTGTTTAAATTAATACAGAAAAGCACCAAATAAAAGGAAATCATTCCAATTAATAATTTTGGGAATGTTAAGATGATCATAAGAGAAAGCCTGAAATTTATTTCCTATCCAAAGAAAAACTGGAATACACCAAAAAAATTTTGCCAGAGTTTCTCGTATCACTGAGGTCAGTGGTGAAGAAGAAGCAGACTTGTTTTCCAACATTCTCTCATCTCCTGATTCTACCAAAATGATTCAGAAGATGGGTCAAAGATGGTTTCAATAAGCAGGAAACAAGTCACAATTACCTCATTTTTTTGGAAAGTAGTATACCAACTCATTTTATTTTACAGATTCATGGAATGTAGCTCTGGATCAGAGCTGATCATGTCATATATAAGTTTTTACCTGACAAATTCTAAAATTGGATATGGTCAACACAATTAGAAACTAAATATTATCATTTTTATACTGTTCTTCTTTTATGATGGGAAATGGGTCCAAAATCACTGTTAAACAAAAACCTTGAACCTTTGAGTAAGGAGAACATACAACAAATTAAGGTTTTTAGTTGTAAAATTAAATTGTCCTGATGACTGTGAGCAAATGTATCATCCATGTCAAAACCTCACTTGAAAGTCATGTAGGACTTGCAAGCAGGAAAAATATTCCTATAATTATGAAGCTGGTCAATTTTACAACATAGGATATTCATTTTGGACAGCAACACAGTCCCTTCTTATTTCTGTAAAACTTCCACAAAGATAAAGACAGAGGAACAACCTATAAGGACTCTGGTACAAATTGTTCCAAATCACAACTGTCTTCTTCCCTTACAATGGTATTTCCATCTAGAAGGAAGAAAAGAGTTAGATCATCTGGTGTCAAACTGTGAAATAAACAGCTTCCTTACACAAAATACTGGCTTTCAAAACTTTTCACTTGTAGTATTTATAGTGAAATAAACTAAGTTTATTTTTTTTCAGTTGCGGGGTAGGGTTACTTTCAATTATGTACTTGTTCCAAGAAATAGGATAAGTGACAGTGTCTCAAGAATAAGTCATATTGGGAAAATGTTTTTGTAAAACACATTTGATAAAGGACTATTAGGGAAAATAGAAAATGAACTCTTAAAACTCTTAAAGCTGTGGAGCAGCACAAACTCTTGCTCATTACTGTAGGAATAAAAAAAGTATAACTACTTTGGAAGACAGCTTAGCAGACTCTTACCAAACTAAACATATATGCTCCAACAATCATGCCCTTACTATTTACTCAAATGAGCTGAAAACTTATGTCCATAAAAAGACCTACACATTCAAAGCATCTTTATAATTGCCAAAACTCAGAAGCAATAAGATGTCCTTCAGTAGGTGATAGAGAAACAAACTGTGGTATATCCAGAAAAGGTTATATTGTTTGGTGCTAAAAAGAAATGAACCATTCAAGCCATGAAAAGAAATGGAGGGTAGTCAGGATGTAGCTGAATGGCACAGCGCCTGCCTGGAAACCTCAAGGTCCTGAGATCAATCCCCAGGTAAAAAAAAAAAAAAAGAAAAGCAATGGAGGGTATAAATGCATATTACTAAATAAAAGAAGCTGTTATGGCTTGTATCTAGATGTTCCCCACGGCCTCATGTATTCATAGGTGGGGCTTTTAGGAGGTGACTGGATCTAGGATGTGTGATACTGGTATTAAGGGTATGTGGTACTAGGTTAGTCAACTAACTTTTATTATAGCTCTCTGAGTGTGGATAATGGGAAGGCCCACCCTGGCTGTGGGTAGCACTACCCAAAAGTCTTATAGCCTGGATGGGATAAGAAGGAAAGGGGGATTTCCTGACTGCTACTGCTGCCTCCCTCCTGCTCTGCCATGAACTATTTCTCCTTTTGATGCCCCTCTGCCATGCTACCCTGCCTTAGAGTCAGCTAAATAAAAACCTCTGCAAACTGTGAGCTGAAATAAACCTTTCCGCCTTTAATTTGTGGGGTCAGGTATTTTGTCTTAGCAATAAGAAAAGTAACTAAAACAGAAGCCAATCTAAAAAAGCTACATACCATATGATTCCAAATGCATGACATTCTAGAAAGGGTAAAACTATCAAAAAAGCTCAGTGGTTTTCTGGACCTAGGGGATAAATAAACGGAGCAAGGGCAGTGAAACTATTCTGTACAATACTACAATGGTGGGTACATGCTATTATACATTTGACAAAACCCAAAGAACATAAAACACCAAGAACGAATCTTAATGTAAATTATAATGGTGTATCAGAAAAAGTAGATTGATTAAAACACTACAAATTTACTACTTTCACATGGGATGTTGATAGTAGGGGAGGTTCTATGCATGTGGGGAACAGTGTATATGGAAACTCTCTATATATCTTGGTCAATTTTCTGTGAATTTCAAATTGCTCTAAAGCATGAAGTTTACTGATTAAAAAAACCAGCCTAAATATATTTATTCCTGTGATATGATCAGATAGCAAGATATAGACAATAAACTAGACATCAGAAAGGCGAGCATTTGAAAACAGATGGCATGTTGGTCTTCCTTACCCCAAATACAGACAATACAGTCTAGTTTTTTATTCTTTTTACTCTGCCTTTTACTGTCTAATTCATCAACTTCATTCCACTCCTTCCATAGCATGACCTGTTTAATGTATAAAATACAAATAGCTAGTGCAATGCTATGTCACTTAATATTTATTAGAGCATTTATGAAAATGAATGCCTTAAATTTAGTCAATCAATAGGCACTGGCATGTCATGTTGAAAATTTGTCCTATGAAAAGGTAGAAGCATGACTGAAATAAATATATGTCTTCATTGTAGTTCATACTTAAGCTCAGATTAATATTTCCACAGAATGAAAAAGAGCCTGTGCCTCACCTGATTTGTGGAGGCTGATGGATCGAAGATTAGGAAACAACCTGGCCAATGAATCATCAGGCTCCTCAATGGCATTCAAATGATTGTTGGCCAGGATGAGGGTATCCAGTGAAGGAAACATAACTCCTAACTTTCGTATTTCAGTCCAGTCTTGGAGGTTATTGTCCGTTATATGTAGGAGCTTAAGAGAATGACAGCAAATAGACGAACAAGACACTGTTTCATAGTCATTAAGGCACAGGAAGAGCTCCTCCAAACTGTAGAGAAAAAGGGAAACATTTTAAATTGTTTAAAGTTTATAGTTTGCACTATTATTTATTTTTATTCATTCAAAAAATAAAGAGGGCATGCTATATGAGACTGGTAGGTATTGTAGAGAAAATATAAAGCCGCCTTTCTGAAGCTCAAAATACTGCACAGCTGAGAAGACAAAATCTCAAACATGTAAAACAACAGAGAATGATATAAGCTGGACTGATTTTGTGCTTAAGCAATTAGTGCTAAATTAAGCAATATTAATTGTAAGCATAATTATGGTTCACATAGGAATGAACTTTCAACTGTAGCTAGGATAACCAGGAAAAGATGCAAGGCACTGAAGAGGACTGGACTTGCAGAAGTTGATGGGAAAGAGAAGAAAATTCCAGGAACAACTATGAACAAATATTTAGGAATAGATACAATAATTACTAAATTCTACTCTGTGTCTGGAACATTACAGATTTTACTTCTATTTCTAAAAGGTAAATATTATTATCACCACTTTACAGACAAAGAAGCTAAGCCCAAAGAGGGTAAGTATCTTATTAAAGGTGATATAGTTAGTAAACGGAACTGGGATCTAAAAGCTCATTCAGTCCCTTGGCAGAAGTTGCATGTAGTAAGGAAACCAATCTTGTACAGTAAAACGTAAAGATGCAGTAAGTACTGTGAGATGAAATTCGGAAGGACACTGATAATTTCCATATTTAGACAGTCAAAGAAACTACAGCTTCTCAGTCAAGTGTGGTGGCATGCACTTGTAACCTCAGAACTGTAGGAGGCTGAGGCAAGAGGAATGCAAGTTCAAGCCTACTTAGTGAGACCTGGTCTTAAATAAATAATAAAAAAAGTGTTAGGGATATAGGTTCTGGGTTCAATCCTCAGTACTGCAAAAAAGTAAAACAAACAAACAAAAACCTCAAAAAGTCCCGAAACCTATAGCTTCTTTCATGTATTTAAAGTACTTTGCATTTTGCACCCTTATGTGCATAAACAAAGGCTGACACAAACAAAACATAAAGAGGCATTTTTAAACTGACAAACAAAAGTATAATTTCTGTCTTAAATTGTTGAAAACAATACCAGAGGCCCATTTTCTCATCTGGCCACCTAGCATTTAATCATCTAAAGGTTAACATATTTTAGAGATACTATGAATTTGTTTTTCCTCCCAAAGAAAAAAGATCAAAGCAAAATTCTTAAATCAGGTAATCAGAAGATTAGAATGGAGAAAAGCTGAGCTGATCTAGAAGCGATAAGTGCTTCTCAGGGGTATTTTCTAGCCAAAGGATGACATATCTCATGTCTTGGTGCTACTCAACACTGAATACGTATCCTCCTGGAAATGCTACCAGATTACCCTCACACCCTCATGCTAATTACTTCATTTTTCTAGCCTCTTTCTCCATTCAATCTGCAGTTCTAGTATTTCTGAGATGGGAGATCAGCAGTAGTTTTATGTACTAACACAGACAGCAACACAGCTCCCTCTCCACAACGCTCTTGGGCTTACTCTGGTAACTCCTGCAGGATGGTGTGCACTGTCTCCCATGAAGCTTTGCTGTTATTGAGGACGAGTTTGCGAACCCCAGAGAAGGATCCAGCACATGTTCTTTCTAAAACTGACAAATTCAGAGGGTTGGAACTCAGGTTTAGGAACTCCAACTGGGGAACATTTGACACAATTTTACTGACCTAGGGAAGAAGAAGAAGAAGAAGAAGAAGAAGAAGAAAAAAAAAAAAAACAAACACACATCAGGCAGTAATCAGAGCTTTTATATAGCAATCACACTCAAGAAGTCCTAAGTGAGTGGGTCCCCAGGCATAGGCCCATTTACCTCAGGGAGTCCTACTTAGTGATGCTACCCACTGAGCAGCATAAGTGATTTTAACAACTCTTGGCAAATAATGTAATCTCTTTCTATGAAATAGTAGCATATCTGATAAGTAATGGTACAAAAAAAGATTTCCTATGCCACCATTAGCAAAATTTCTGTTTTCTATGTTATAGTTTCTGTGATAAAAAAGATTAAAAGATAGTTTACATGACATTCCAAGCTATAAATTTTTAAAGAGCTACGATTAGGTCATATAATTCTCTTTGAGTATCTTCTTGCTTTCATTCTCAGAACATTAAGGCTAATTAAAACCACTCTAACAATTCATGTGTTCAAAACTGACTACATAATCTCAATCAAAAAAGTCTGGTTTGAAGATATATCACACTTTAAAAACATATTTACTTAAAAAGTATCCATAACTACATAACAAAAATAAAAATTAATTTTAGTAAGCAAACAGGTAGGCTGAAAAAAAGGAAGATACTAAACTGTTTACTTGTTCAAAACTAGTCTTTTTATATAGCTTGTTCATTACAGTCTTAAAACAATTTGTGAGATAAGACTACTTTCATCTAATCAATGAAGAAATTGAGGTTCAAATATGTTAAATAACTTGACTAACACCTCCGAGTCACAAATTTAGAATCTGGAATTCTAAAATCAGAGTCACTGTTCTTTCTAATATTCTAGTCATCATTAACTGTAACAAAAAAAAAAGGCAATAACAATTGAAGAGTAGTTGGCACAATGAGTGAGAAGGACAAGCTTAAACAAGTAAGAAATAAATACTAAATGCCCAGTAAATATAGTAAGCATTAAATGTCCAGACAGTGTGGTAACTAAGTTATGGAAAAGGAAATAGGAAGAGGTAGTTAGGATTAGATTCAGAGATGGAAAACCTGAATTCAAACCAATTTCCAGCCCTTCCTAGCTGTGATAAATCACTTAACTTTTTCAAATCTCATAAAACAAGGAACACAGTACCTATCTATGTTACATGGCTGTTGGATTAAATGAGATACACAAGTGATGCACTCAGCACACACCCGACATCTCTTTTTGAAACCTGTTTCCTTAATTACCCATTAATTGCATGTAAATGATGGAAGCAGAGATAGTGGAGCATTTAACATTTACTGAGTAACTTATGGCACGAAATCATTCAATAAATATAACTATTGCTAATATAATAAGAATAACATGAAACAGTATTTCAACCCTGGCTATCAATCGAAAATAATGATTCCCAGGTGCAACTACAAACTAGTCCGAAGTTTCACAAGTAGGACAAGCTGCAGGGTTGGGACATGGGTATCAGTTTCTTTTCAAAGCTCTGGAAAAATGTATTAGGTGGGAGGGGGGAATTATGGGTAGAAAGAAAAAGTAACTACTTTACACCAAGTCTCTGTTTATATTCAGCTCAGGAGCTCTAAAATCAGAGTAGATTAACTCCAATAAGGTTTGGAGGAGAATGTCAGAGGTAAAATTCTTCACATTCACTATTTCATCTATCCCCCACACTAACCCTCTGAAGTTAGCACCACTTTAATCTCATTTTAGAAATGCAGAAATAAGCTTCCTTTTAGAGAAAATACAGAAGACTTCTGTTTAAAGTACAGGGAATTTATATAAGTCTGCACATGTCCTTATGCTTGATCCTTTTGGTGACCAAAGGATACCAAACATTAATGCAATATATGACTAGAATCTGCAGTTTAGTCTGTGATACAATACAGTTACATAGTTCATGCAAGGACCAAGCTTGTACTGCATTCTATGACCTCAATACTAATGATACAAAGGACCTTCATATAGAAGACGATGATTGGCTATATCGTACATCTTTCAAGCAGGGAAAAAGTGGAATTTTGCTCCATTTAAGGCATGAAGATTGACTGCCCATTTTGATAAAACCCAGTTAAATGAAACAAAACATAAGCCCTTTGATTTCTTCCCACATTTTTCTTTTAAAATAAAAAGGAAGATAATAAAAAGTGGCTAATTTAAGGGTTTTAAAGTTTTTTCAGGGAGATTTCCCCAGGCTAACAGTTATATGATGTAATCATCAGAGCCTATATCTACTACTATTCAGTGGAAATACAGATTTATAATTGCTTGTATATTCCAAAAATATAAAATTGCACTAGAATCTCATAACTTAAGCAGGAAAATAATGCATGTTAGAAACAGATAAATCTGACTTTTTAAAGGGCAAGAATAAATTTTTCGGGTGTAAATTCCAACTGATGATAAGATTGAGAAAAATGTATTATTACACAGAAAAATTTACTTATGATGGAAAATTTCCCAATGTTAAAGACTAACAAACATTCCACTGAGTTTCTAGTTTCTAGGGCTTTAGATTGTCCTTTTTTAAATTCTAAACAACAAAAACAACAAGATCAAAAACGCTCTTCCAGTTGGACTGAGCTGAGTTTGTTTGCCAATGTGCAGAAACATGGAGATGAACTTGGGTCACCCTCTTAGGCCTTCAATCTCAAGATTTAATAGGGGCTCCTCCACTCTGGCTTCTAAAAGAGAAGAAACTAAAGATTCAAGAAACATGGGGAAAGGGTTTTAAGATAACAATCTGTAATTTATACCCAAGCCATTCTCTACCTCACCCAACTAATTCCTCCCTCCTCTCAATTGCTTTATTTAATTTCTTTTATAAAATGGTTTTGATAAGGAAAGGAGAAATAAGGAGGTATCTTGGGAACAGTACAACATAATTTTACTCAGCAAAATTTTAAATCAACACCTAAAAAGTGCATTTTATTAACATATCAGTGCCTAATTTTAATAAGGTGGAAATAAATCTTCCCACACATACAAAAGTATTATATTTCTCATTCATACTTATTGTAGCCTTTGGATATATAGCAACAAATAGTATAAATTACAAAAGAAGTTACTCATAATTTATAATATTAGTGACAATTCAGAAGACTGAAAAAAATTTTGTTCCACATTTGTTGTATTAATACTGGCTAAAGTGAACCAAGTTAATGATTAGGGACAAATGATATTTTCGATGATCAGATATATGCACTGTAATGAAGCTGAAATGTAATGTCTTAAAACCAGTGACATGAAGCTTTTGTAGCATGACAGCTTATCAAGGGAAAAGTCAATATTCCTTTAATATTTATACTGTATCTTTGTTCTCTGATACATACTGTAAAAGATATTAACTGTAGTTAAGGGTAAGGAATAAACATCAAGGAATAATGAAAACAAAAATAAACTGGAGCCATGCCTGCCTATACTCCCAGCTACTCAAGAGGATGAGACAGCAGGTTCAAAAGTTCAAGGCCAGCCTCAGCAATCCAGCAGGGCAGAGTCCAATAATAAAAGTAAAAAGGACTGAGGACCTAGCTCGGTGCAAAAGTATGGGGTTTAGTCCCCAGAACCAAAAAGGTAAATAAAAACCTGAAAAATGGAAAAGTGAAAATAGAAGCAACCAATATTTACCTGAAAACTGCTTATAGAGCACATAAGAGGGCAAAAAGTGAGCGTAGATACAGTACAAATAAATATGTGACTCTGGCTATATGTCAATGTGGTCTGAGAAATACTTAATATAAAACTTTGTCTAAGTAGAGAAAAGGCTAAATTACTTAGTGTAAGCACTGTGGAATGACCCGTACTACATACAGCTTCCTTCTCAAGTGACAACTACATAGTTATAAAACTGCTCCCACCAGTTAGCAAAAGCTCATGTACATAGTCAAAGTACAAAGCATAGAGCCTTTGTGAAATTTTATATTGCCAAAGGAAACAAATTTAGAGGATTCAATATATGACCATAACAGCTGAAGTGACTCAAAGAATTGAAGAATTGGTCTGATTTGTCACCAATCCAGATCACAAATCTCACAAGAGCTTTAGCAGCAGGACTCAGGAGAATTGCAGAGAAGAAGGATTAATAAGGTGTTCTTTTTGAGTTTGTGCAGTATGGAAGGAATATGGATGGTAATGAGGTATCTCAAAGGACTAAGAAGGCACAGACTATAACTTCTCAAATAGTGAATTACACTAGTTGTTTAGATAAATAAATGTATACATACAGATTTATTTCTTAGAATAGCCCTGTAAATCTGTGTATCACTTAGACATTAGGTGACATACATTTCCAAGAAATTGGGTAAAAATCCTATGAAAACAAGAAGTATAACCAACAGAATAGTTACCAGGCAAAATAAAACTGAAATAGATAAATATTAAAAAGTGAACAAACTAGGATATGGACAGATTTTTCTTAAACAGAAAGCTGTTTTAGAATTTGTATAGCAATCAATATCTACACAGTGCTTCAGTGATTAATTTTATCAACAAACATATTATGGATGAGCAAGCTCAAGCACTGCAGGACTTGGTAAATTTCTTAAGATCATAGGAAAAGTTGGAGCATGTGATCTTGACTAATCCTTAAAATATGATGGTTTATTCATTAACCCGTTCAATAAACATTTGATTTCCTGGTAGGCTGGGCACTGCTAAATTTAAAAAGACAAAAATTTCTACCTGAAAGAACCTTTCAGTCTAACAGGAAAACTGTTGAGTAAGCAAGTGACTATGGCACTGGGATGAATCCTTTCACTGCAGTATGATACAGGGCTGCAGGATAATCTGACTGCCTGAATGCCAAGTCTGGAAGATCAGAAGTGACCAGGTAGTCACAGGAGGAAGAGAGCAGTGGGTTCAGCATGAACAAAAGCTCTTCCTGTCATGAGATTATTTTGGGCTGAAAATAAAAGTATATGGCTAAAGATGCAAATGAAGTTCCAGAAATAGCCAGGTGTGTTGATTCATGCATATAATCCCAGCCCTCAGGAGGCCAAGACAGGAAGATCACTGATAGTTCAAGGCCAGCCTGAACTATACAGTAAGACCCTGTTTCAAAACAAAATAAAAGTTCCAGAAATCACAAAAGGCCATATGATAAAGGACCAAGCTCAGAGCATTCAGACCTTCATTTCTATGCAATGAAAGCTATCAAAGGACTTCATATGAGATTGTCACAGCATGGTTCATGTACTAAAAGGAGTTGGTAGTGGCACTGTATAAGACTGAAGACCCAGGAATAGGAACCATCTCCAATAGCTGAAACAAAAAAACTAAGAGTCTAAATTAAGGCAGGAGCATGAGTCAAGCAAGAAAAATTATTTTTCCTTTACTCTTCCAGTTAGACCCTATCAGGTAATGTTACAACCAGGTGTGTCATGTTATTTATAATAGCAAGAGAGAATATTATAATTCTGTTATTTTTGTACTAAGAGTTACTCTGAGGTACAAAGACATTAGTTATATCAAACTACCAGAAGGACTTAATATAAGAAAATTTCTAATATAATTGGGATAAATTTCAGTAACAAGAATAGATATTTTTATAATATTGGCTTCAAGCTCTAGCAATGTTAGTTTACAGTAATAGGTACTAAAGCAGAAATGGAAAATGAGTATAGGATGTATAAACTAGTGAAGTAGGAGAGAATTTAATGCATTGGTAGTAATCTAAACCTCTACACTCACTAACCTCTTGAAGCCTGGGATAAAGCTTCTCAGTCCTTCTCACAATGATAAAAAACAAGTTGGCAACAACAAAGCTATTAGAATAATCACCATCAAAGTCATTTATCTTGAGATACACAAACACACAATCTCAAGTGAGAACCTGAATTCAGCAGAATATATAACATAAAACAATAACAGAGTGGTTATTTCTGCCTTTCACCAAAATAAAAACTTTACCTCGTGCCAGTCTTCAAGTTTGTTGTCAGAAAGATCTAATTCCGATACATGAGCACAAAAGGCAGCAATTTCTCTTTCATCTCCTGCACAGGTAATTCCACAGCTGTTCAACACTAGCACACTTGGGAGGTTGAGGCGATCTGAATCACAGAGCACACAAAACACTTCTTTATCAACCTAAGTTTTGACTACCCCATTTAGACCCCAGTGATTGTCAAGAAACAAAAATCAAATAGTGTGAGATTGCACAAGGACCTGAGAATGAAGAATATAACAGGATCCAAGAGCCCTAAATTCTAAGGGGAGATGGCTAAATACAGCTAGGAGGAGCTCAGAAGTACTAAACCACCAACATGTCATGTAAAAACCCAACATGTTTGGGTTTTTACTTCCAGCGGGACTCTTTCTCTCAGCTACAATAACAGAGCCATCACCTTATCATCTTATCCTTGGAATATACCACATGTAAAATTCATGTCCAGATTACCACCACTTCCTATTGGCCTTGATTTTTTAATTCAGTTCAACAATATTCTGTTTAACTCTTCTCTGTCTGGTGTGTATCTTTACCTTTTGCTGCCTATGAAAATTATCTCAAACCAGGAGATTATTTGCTAAACCATTTCTGTTCTTTAAGTTCATATTCATGAAATCTTCTTCACTTAAGGAGATCAAAACTACATCTGTTTCCTTCATATTTGTCTACTAATTGCCCCATTTCATATCCATGTAGAATTTGTCCTTTATGAAAATCAGCCATTTTTAAAAACATAATCATAATACAAAAAAGTGTTTCAGTATCTGAAACACTGAATGAATTCAGCCAAACAGATGTAATAACTCTGACTATTGCTAGATCAAAAAAATATGTGTCAATAAAATCACTCTTGCTATCTCTACTAAAAGGGATAAACACAGAAATTCAACTACTCTTCCCACTTCGCATAAAACAAGGAATCATGAATGTCATATTTTATTAAATGGAGACCTCAAATTATATGATTTTTCAACTTAACACTTTTCAGTATCAAATTTATCAGAATGGAAATGGATCCTTAAAAAAAAATTACCGAGATACCCACTTCTCTTTGGCATTCCAGATTACAAGAAGTGAAAACATAATTGTATTGGAAATAATAAATACTCAGGGATCTTTGAAAACAGAAACTAAAACAATGATTCACCATTAATTCTCAATTACAAAGAACCAATTCCAAGGTCTATTAAATAAAACAATGCTAAAAGGCAAGCAAAAACATACCTTGTACATTTCTAGTTATAGAACTTTGCTCCCATCTATTCTCTGATCTAGAATGCCTTTAGCTCCTTTCTAAACAAATTATATATTCCTGAAGGATTAGTATGCATCACAGCTTTGAGTATCTTCCTAGTCATATTAATTATCTGAATTTCTTTCCCCATCACTGTGGTATTCATGTGGCCCAACACAGACTTTTTGTTACATCTTTGTAAACATAAATGTCTTGTACTTTAATCAGTCTGTTAATGACTATGAGACACAAACCAGTCATAGAGTGTTTTACATTCCCCCAGTTCTTAAAAGAACATGCCTCTGAAAGATTGTCTCACTCAAATATTCTTGCAACTAAAACACCTCCTGGTTAATCCACCGGAAAAGAAGTTCTGTGAGTTTTTTTAAAAAACAAAAAGCAAAATCAACTGAAATCCAGCAGGCAGCATGGTGGCACACACTTGTAATCCCAGCACTCAAAACGCTGAGGCAAGAGGAGTGCCATGAGTTTGAGGCCAGTCTGGGGTACATAAGAAGTCCAATGCCAGCCTACACTACAAGCGAGAAGGAAGGAAAGGAAGGAAGGAAAGAGGGAGAAAGAGAAAAAAAAAAGAAAGAGAGAGAGAGACAGAGAGAGAGGGAGGGCGTGAGTGAGCAAGTGATTAAGCTAGGTAGCTAGCTGAATGAAATCCAAACAAGAATGATTAGACTCACAACTTAAAGGAAATCATCTATGAATTAGGCCATTATTGCAATATACATAACTTCCTAAGTAAATTCCAGTAAATAAATATTTTAGGCCCCAACTTACCTTTCATAGGAGAGCCCTGAGGTATGGCTGGGACATGGACTCCCATCCCAGGGCCACGGCGGTAAGGAAAGTTTTCAGGACTGTATTTTTCACATAATACTTGCATAAAACTTCTTCCACTGGGTTGGTCCATCTTCCTTCCCTAAAATTTCACAAGCAACCAAAAAAATCATCAAAATCATTTATTCACTCATAAAGCAAATATTTATGGCCAATTATTTACCAGGTACTAGGGTTGGCAGTGAGACATATAAGACATGCTCACTACTCCCAGCCACTTACACTATGGTGAGATCTTATGACTTAGGGAAGCCATATACACAGACAAATAATAGCAATTAAAGCTCAGCATACGATATTTGCAATATAATTAAAGAATTCCAAAATTTAGAAGGATGTGATCACTTCCAACCTAGAATAACAAGAAGGCTTCTGGTGGGTGCCAGTATTCATGTGGCACTGTTCTAACAGTCCAAACATTAAATAACTCTAGCATTTCTTCAAAAACATGCAATGCTAACTTGTGACAGCCTGATAACTGATTATCAGAAGGGGTAGCTTATGCTCTGCATTAAAATTCAACCAAATTATCAGTGACTATAATTAACACCTGTAAATCCATTTAGCAGCTATCAGTTTACTTTTTAACAAATAAAATAAGTAGAAAAAAGGAGGAGGATGGAGAGAACTCAAAGAATAAAGGACATCATGACAAAAGGTATGGCAATGAAAATGCACAATAGTATGTATGAATAACCTCAAGAAATCTGGTACTGACAGTTCAGCATATCCATGGAAGAAATGGTCAAGAGAATCTAAATGGAAACCTCAGAGGAGAGCTTATGTGCTACACTAAAAAACTGAATTTTTTTTCTATAATAAGCAGGAAGAAACTAAAACGTTTTTAAGGAAGGGAATACAATGATCAATTTTTTGGAAAGCTCTTCCAGCCAAATTTGTAGTTGATGGACATATAGCAAACAAGACTGAAGGCAGGAAACAAGTTAGGAAAATACTGCAAAAATACAACTAAGATATGAAGAAGGCCTGATGTGATACATCTACAGAATAAGCTATTGCATATACTACTTGTATTACAGGATTGAAGCAGAACCCTAAAATATATAAACATATTATTTGATTATAGGGCTATTTGGAAAGCTCTAAAATATACAAATACTATTAATTATAAGAGGATGTTATAATAAGGTAGAGAGAACACAGACATAGAAAATTTATGCTTTCTCACCACCTAAGCTAGTTATCTTCTCTAACATTCTCTCCTATGGGGTCTAAATCTTTCCCTCCAATCTGAAACAAAAATGGGGGTTGAGGGGAGTAGAGCATGAATATAAAAGTAGTCATTAAACTCGGCCCATATCCTAGACTACTACCAGCACCACTTACTGGACTTTGTGAAATCAGTTCACAAATGACTAGAACACAGCAGGTGCTTGCCAAGCACATGGCCATCCAGTAAACTTTTGTAATTCACCAAAGTTTAGAATATGGAATTAATTTCATAAGTATATTACAAGTTACCTTGAAAATACAGAGCTGATCTCTGTTTTTTTAAAAAAACCTTCATTTGTAAACTAAGTTTATAATTTTTTTCTATCTGTAGAGAGAAACACTGTATACAGGGCTACCCTCTATCCTAAGATTGATTGTGTCAATCTTTGAACTGAGTTCTGTCCATTTCTGGCTTCAGGAACTTTCAGGTTGAAAGGTTCTTTTCTAATATTAACTTATCACCATCAACAGCAGATAACAAAGAGCTCTGCCACTAGCAATAGGCACTACAGCCCTTATCCAAGACCTGTCTCAAGCAGGACACTAACAGAATTTTTAGAAATCTTTAACAAAAACATCAAAGAAGTTACACAGCCATCTTCCATATAATTGGCAGTTCAAAAAAAAAAAATCATGTGGGGAAGGTGAACTATCACTGCCAAAATAATGATATCTTTATGTTCAGGCTTCAGACCAACTTAAACCTATGTAATTCAAGGATAATAATAAAAAAAATTGAAATAATGCAGGAAGGGGTTGCAAAATTAAATAATGTCCTAGTAATAGCAAGCAAGAATGGGAAGTTATAAAGATTTTCCTTCTGGCCTCATGTTTAACTCTTCTAAATAGTGTGGAATTTTAAATCTTTTTTTTTTTTTTTTTAAGGATAGAAAAGAGATAGGAGGCACTTTCACTGCTCATTTTCCAGCATGTGCTATTGAAACAACTTTCTATGAATGCTGATGTGTGCACATATATACTGCTTTTGATTAAGAATATTAAGACTGTAAAATGGATTTAAATCTACTCAATATTTGTTGGGGCAGTTTGATGAGAAATGGTAGGTGAGAAAGGAGGGCTGAAAATCAAGAAGACTGAAAAATGAGGAAATGCAGAATGGAAAAAGATCTTTAACTGGATGCTTTTAAAAGGTTTTCTGGGAGTAGAGGGCAATCTATGACTTTCTGTAAATAACAGGTATCAAATCACATCAGTCTACCTCTACAGCTGGCAGAGTCCTAATGCATTTGTAAAAACAGTTCTGAATTAGTGCTTTAAACCAGGGAGCCAGGAATACTGGGTGATGTTGTTTGGTTCCATTATCAAGTCATGGAGCGTGCCTGTGAAAATCTCAAATCCTTTGTGCCTCACAATCCTAACTATAATAATATCCTCTTGTAAAGTGCTTGGAACGAGTCACAATAAAGTACAACCTGGAGGACAAAGTGCTCAGAGCACTTTTGCCAGGTGGATTAATAGCAGAACTGAACATCCAGTCACCTAAGTACCCTCAACTGCCATCAAGCAGTTTGTACTTTATGTTCCCAATAAAAGGGTCAGCTCAAAATTAGTATGAAACTCAACACAACTGAAAACAGAAAATAGGAAATGCCTGATCACTCACCTTGGATAATATATAAGATATACCCTTTTCTGTTATGCAAAATCAATATTTATTTCACAAAAATAAATGTGGAGTAGTGTACTTCAGAAAGTAAAAATACAACCAGCCTTCTAACTTCCAAGATACATAAATACCACCCCAGAGTGGCAAAATATAAATTCTTAATCTTTTAAAAGTACATTCATCATTTTGGGTATGCACAATTATCAGACGGAAAAAAACAGAAACAAGTAAAAATACCAACAGAAAACTTCTGAGGAAAAATTAGGAAGAAAAGAGATTTTTTTCAATGTCTACCTTTTTGAACCACTTGAACTCACCAAATTCATATCATCTTTTCTAATTGTAAAGTGTCTTAAAAATAATACATCTTGGAATAACCAAATTATTTGCCAAAGGGTTTTTAAAATTTTCCTCATTATTAGTTTCTATGAAAAAAATTCCAATTTTGTAAAACAGAATTAGGAAAAAGCAAGTCAAAACAAAATACCTTTCCCTCAGAACTAAAGTACAATGAAACTGAGAGGAAGGTTTGAAAGGAATAGGAAAACGATAGCACTACAACTGTGTTATGCTGTTCTTTACTATGGTTTTAACAAGGACAAAGCAGAAAGAATACTATGGATTGTCCAGAAAGGCTGGATGAATAACCTCGCATCCTATACTGCCTTTGCTAAGTTAAATGTGTTAATAAAGTTATCCAGATCGTTCCCAATGTGCAGTTGCAACTTCAGCATGACAGTTACCCCTGACGGTGGAGACTAACAAGGAACAGATAGGGGCTGCAGCTTTCCAGTTATACATAGCTGGGTATTAATTTATGCTTTTGGGGAAAAAATTCAAACTCCATTAATTTTAGATGAGGCTAAATCTTCAAAAAGTTTTCCTAGTTTTCATAAAAGGAAAATATTCTTAAGTAATTGCAGCAAATGACTTTTGGAAGCATAATGAAGTAGGCTGATTCTGAGGCATGTATTTCTGAAAGATAAACATTAAATTACAGGGTAAGAGTGACATTTTAGGCATAGGAGATGTGGTACATAAACAGACACAAGACTCCTGAAATGGGTTAACAGTGATATTTCTAAACATAAAACACTGGGAGGAGCATGGGGGAGGCAGGAGATTTGACCAGAGAGGTGAGAGCAAGCAGTCAGATCATGACTGGCATTCTTTTATCCTGCAGAGATTAACAGTTAAGAAAAGTGTTCATAGGTCACTGTAAATAAAGTACACAGATGGGGGTTATTGATCTTCATAAGTAGAAAACAAGAGAAGTCAAAGTTATGAGAATTTAAAAATCTTTAAAGGACTAGGCAGTCAGGAATTTTTTCATATTAGAGGAAGCAAGTTCAAGATGGTCAAGGGTGTAGAAGCCATGACATAGTATAGGGCAAAGGCAGCAAACTAATGGCAGAAGGTGCTCAGCAGGCTGTTCGTATCACTGAAAGCCCTAAAAGTTTGCCATCACTGTTACAGGGTGTTAAGGAAATAAGGGCAGATGATGAGCATGATCCAGTTTTCCAAAAGCTGAAATGAAAGTGCAAAAGTCCGGACAGTAGATGAAGAAAAGTCAAGGGTTAAGAAAAAGCATTTTCCTTTGATTTTTAAAGGACAAATGAGATGTGTAGTCTTAAATTTGGGATCAGGGAGATTAAGGGAGGCAAGCAATAACTAAAACAAAACTGAGGGAGAAAAATCTCCTGGATAGCTCCAAGAATCACTTAGGATCAGTAGGTTTCTGAACTTTTCCAAGTCTCGCTTTATTTTTTCTCAAGCCCACTCACTTACTTTGTGGACTCCTCTTTTAACCTCATCCCACAAAACCTCTTTCTGAGCAAATCCCAATGACCCAAACCTCACTAGATTCGTAGACATTTTAGTTAGCTGGAATTTGTTTGCTTTGTTTTCCAAATCGGCCCTCCTGATCCTCAACATAAAGGTGTCCTCCAGTAAAATAGAATTACTCTGAGGACTATGCTATATAATATATGTTATACATTTTTCCCTCCAGGAAAAATTAAATAAATCAAGAGAAACCTGTTAATCTTCCCTCTTCTAAATATTTGCTTTTAAAATACAATCCACAATGTGACTTTTTAAAAATTTCCAGTTGAATATAACTAAACAATAACAACAGCAAAACCTACAACCCTACCATGTAGTATCCCTTTTCATTAACTAAGGATATGTTTGTTACCAAAGCTTTCATATCTGCAGTATATTTATGGCCACAGAAATACCAGGAAACTTCAGTGAAAGATTTAGCATGTAGATTAAGCCTGAAGGTATACCTCACTATGTGTATCATTTTACATCACTTTTTCCAGGCTATGGATATGTGTGTGCATGCATGTGTGTGTGTGCGTGTGTGTGTGTGTGTGTGTGTATGTATGT